TCTAACTCTAACCTTTTGCTCCATAGTTCTTTCTCTGGCTAGCATACTGGCCTCAGTGTCACCTGCATCCTCTCTTACTACCCCCTCCTCCTCAGTGGCAGCGTTACTGATATCCTGCGAACTGTGGTTTTCTACCTGCCGCTGGACTTCATCCGACTGACTCGACTGACTTCTTAGGAAGTACTGATCAATGCGGCTACTCTGCCCTTTCTTTGCCACACACTTCTTCTTTCCCTGATGAGTTCTGAGGCCTTTCACTGATGTTACTTTCTGCCAGCCGCAAGGACAAACCTGAAGCATCTTGTTCTCAACTATGCTACTTTTGCCCTCTACAGATGCGCTCACCTTGCCCTGAGTGCTGCTAATTCTAGCACTGGTGGATAGGTCCGTGCCCCTATCCTTCACTGAGTCACCGGTCCAAGTCATAGTCGTGTCCTTTCCAATGTCTGTTACCGTGTAATCCACCTGTGAGTCATCTTCCACCCCTGCTCTCGCTGACTCTTGGGGTATTTTCCCTATGTTGGCTGTAGCTAATTTTGGTTGTAATAAGGCTGCTAGGCCTCACCACTGCTACCATGGGTTGCTAACCCATGCCAGCACCGCTGGGGTCTTTTCCCTCCTGTCAGCTGTCTTTCCAAGCGGTCACATGGTCTTTCCCTTGTTGTCAGCTGCCCTATTCACAGCAGTCACTAGCTGGGCTAGTTCTGAATTCAAATAAACACAAGAAGTTTGTGCTCTAATAAAAAAAAAAAAAAAAGGGATCAGCACTCAGTGAATAATCCTCCTAAGCCCTACGATAAGCTATTATGGCAAGGCTTAACTATACAGACCCGTGAGCAGTGATAACTAACATGTCTTTGGGGTCATCGGGTGGGAACCTCCTTTCACCGGTGTTTCGTCTAGTTAGTCCCACGACACCTCCAGGAGGCTAGACAGTGATCTCTGGCGTCCCAGAGACACTCCCCTAATGCCAGGTCTCACTGCTCCCCACACTAACCGAACAACCTCCTTTACCTTACCTATACTACCACAGAGGAGGTAGACCCAGGGAAGGAAGCCTTGTTAGGCTATCACACTCCCCCGCCGGGTTAGGCTGTACAGTCTACCTCCCCAGGACGAGCCCTCACAACAATGACACCTCCAGGAGGCTGGACAGTGATCTCAGCCCAAACAGCACTGCCAACTTCAACCAAGCCCAGGCTCCGTTTATGCGAGCTCCAGGCAGAAGCAATGCTGATACTACCTTTACTAGCACATTCACCATACTCTATTTCACACGCTACATAGCATAACTACAATGTAAGCTAAAGTTAAAGGAGATAAATGAACTCACAGGATCAGCAAACACACTCACTTTGCAGCATGGTCTCAAACAAAATGGATTCAAATAGGCCACTCCCACACTTAAATAACCTTCCTCTTCCTGGATTTCCTTCTTACTTACACATGGCTTTCTCAGCCCAAACAGCACTGCCATCTTCAACCAAACCCAGGCTCCATACATGCGAGCTCCAGGCAGAAGCAATGCTGATACTAGCTTTCCTGTCACATTCACCATACTCTATTTCACACACTACATAGCATAACTACAATATAAGCTAAAGTTAAAGGAGCTAACTGGACTTACAGGATCAGCAAGCACACTCACCTTGCCGCATGGCCTCAAACAAAATGGATTCCAATAGGCCACTCCCACACTTAAATACTTCCTCTTCCTGGATTTCTCCTGACAGGAAGTGGATCTCTCCACCTGATCTCAAGGAGTTATGTGCCCTGCTTAGTAGTTCCCCCTGCTGGCCCCCAGCTGACATTATTTCTTCTGTAATAGATAAACTGGCTGCATTTAATTGCTTCATCTGACATTTCCCTCACTGTCTTCCTCAAATTCTGTCCCCGCACTCCGAGTTCACATCACATCACATGATGCCTTTTTATGCAACCAATTGGCAAATTTTTGGCTTGCCTACTGTTGCTGCTTCCTCTGAAAGTCGCTTTGCAACCCACCTCCATTCCAGCGCCTCCTTTTCATGTTGTGTCTGACTTATCAGTGTCATTTCTGTTTGTCATTGATGCTTGCTCTGTTCTGTCTCCGGGGGGCCTTTGTTGCTGCTCTAAGGAGGCTTGCTCTCTCCCTAGGCTTCCCATGTAGACGCATGGAAGGGCAGGGAGGCTTGCTCTCTCTGCCTCAGACTTTCCTCGTATGCGCGTGGAAGGGAAGAGGAGTGTGCTTTCTCTGCCTAAGGCTTTCTGCATAAGAAAGGCAGAGAGGCTCCAGAACAGAGCCATACTGCCAAATAGAGCACTGCAAATGAAAATAAAGTTTTCTTCAGTGGTCCCAACTGAAATGTGTTCAGTGTCATTGTGACAACCCCACATACAATTCTCACCTGATTTAACAGTCAGTATCAGCTCTGGAGAGCATTTTGTTTTCTTTCAGCTCATTATTTTGGTTTTAGAGCCCATAACTTGTCCGTTTTGATTAATCCTCACTGCTCTCTTAGTGTTGTTTTTTGGCTGCAGCAGAGCTCTAAAAAAACAACTGTACACTATCCGCTCAGCACTTAACAGCAGACAGACACAGACTAGCTGGTGAACATAGTTGAGCATTTAGCATCTAAAGAGGCTGATTGTTCCTACAGGAGTTAGAGACTGAAACAGGGCTAAAAGAGAGTGTATATTGAATTACCTTACATCAGGTGGCCAGAAACACAACTCTAAGTGAATAACAATGTTGGTCCATATACGTATGACCGATGTGTAAATAAGCAACTGATTGCTAACAAGTTTGCAAGTTTCGACTGATGACATATCTATGTATTCATATCCTTCTGTCCCCAGTTGGTCAAAAAAACAGTTACTGTAAGTTTAATAAAACCTTTTACTTAAGCCTTTCTGGTTAGCAGCTGACACAAAAAGATTCCTCCTTACAGTCTGTCAAGAAAGGAAAAAAATGAAGACAGTGGTTCAATCTTAACTAAATCTGCTTTAATGAGCTACAGAGCCATTAGAAGTGCAATATAATCAAATATGTGGAAGACATCTACTCCCATTCCATACTCACATTTACAAGTTATTGCTCACTGTAATAATTTCTTCTGTTCATGATGGCCACAAAGTGATCCACATAAAACTAATAAGAGGCTTCAGCAGTCTGAGATGGCCAATTAAGTGAAGACCTTCCACATTTACATTCTTTATAGCAAGAAATTTGTTTGCCATGTGTTTCCATGGACGATGTTTCCCTGCTCAGCTGTAGGGAAATACATTCTGGTCATTGCATGTAATTTTTTACTGGAGTATAATACCAGCAGAACACACTGCCAGCAGATACCCATTTGATTTGTCTAAGTCAGACTGCTAAAGCCTCGTTAGCTTTGGTAGAAGTTTAGTGTGCATTTTTTGTAAAGAACAACAACTGTAGATTTGGTCTCCCATCTCTCACACTGTAATCACATACGGAAAGGGTTGTTTGAAATCAATATGGGAAGGAACAAGATTGACTTTAAAAAAGTCTGAACCAATCCTGTAATTTGACAGTGTTATTTTTGCAACAAATCAAATTAGAAAGGAATAAGCAATGGATGTAAACAGGGCCTTTCTGACTGTTAACATTTTATTAGGTGTTGGTAATTTGTCTTTCTGCAATGCTTTAGAGTTCAAAAGTCAGTGGCACATTACAGCTCAGAAAGTTGTGTACGAAATTCATTCCTTGAGCTCCCACTAATGAGTGAAGGGACATTCACATGCAAACTTTATGCAGGAAATATATTTCCAACCTTTCGCCACACAGATTTGTACCGTGAACATGACATGACTATCCCTGACCAACTGATGAACACACATGTCAACTTGTAAACTTCAGCACCTAATTTTGTATACAATGCTTGGAAGTGCAACACTAATTGATTAGTTTGAAAAAGAAATGTAAGCGACCATCTTTTAAGTGACTTATTTTTAGGATCTGTAGTGGTATCACTTAGGCTTGTGCCGGTTTGAAAATTTTCCAACCCGTTTGATTTAAAGCCAAATATCTAACCGAACCGATATATCGAATTATTTACCTAATTTTACCACTGGGGGTCACGTTTGAGCTATTTTTCCCAATAAAAGCCCATAATAGGTGTAATGCGCTTCCAATCCACTAGGTGGCAGTAGTGGAGGCACGGCGGTTGAGAGGGCCGAGCGAGAGGATGTCCCAGTAGTAGTTCCAGCCCCCCAAATAGTACCAGGAACTTCTTCAGTGGAAACGGGTTACTAGAGCAACAAACTGAATGACTGCAGACTCCCTCGCACTTTTCCCCGCCCCCAATGAAATTTGATCTCTCACAGCCGCAGCAGACAGCTGAGCGGAGGGGAGCTGCAGAGTCCCTCTGAAGCCTCTGAGACAAACTAAACAAAACACTTGTAGGCTCCTCCACTTCATTTATAAACAAACATAAACCTTATTAAGTTGTCATAATGCATGTTACAATGCAAGATAAGTTGAATATAGTCCCTTGACACGCCGCCAATGTGAAAAGCTTTTTTTTTTTTGCTTCTTTTCCTCCTCTGTTTCCCTCACTTGAGGTGAATTAAACTGGGTGGAGCTCCTAAACCCGACCGAACCGGTTAAACCGGAAATCGGCGCAAGCCTAGTATCACTGCAGTTTATCCTAAATACATGCCAATCTCAGAACCTGCTAGCTATCAGTCTGACGACAATTTAGCCTCTGGGGATGACAGCCAGTATTGGCCAATTTTGCTTTCTCGATACACACTGTTTAACTGCAGGCAACCACTCAAACATGATTGGTTAATACTCCTTGGACAACAAACAGCCAACATACTGAAATCGGAACGCTTCCAATTCCAAAATCTTGTCCAGCCACCTACAGAAAAATATCTGCTTACAGAGATTAGCATTCATAGTGAACTCCTCCTCATTCTGCTGACAGCTCTCTTAACACTTTAAATGCTCATTTACAAACAACTTATTGTATTTTTTTATTATCCTAATGTAGCACAGCACCAGGCAGCCTGCCAGCTCACAGGCATCAACATCATAACTATGCCTGGCACCACAACAGGCAAGAAGCTGGATCTCTCCAAGCTCACAGACGAGGAGGCCAAGCATGTTTGGGAAGTCGTCCAGCGAGACTTTGACTTGAGGAAGAAGGAAGAGGACAGACTTGGGTATGTTAAAAAGATTACATCCTATTTGATACATATCTGTATCTCAGCAAACCCACAGAGGCCACTTCTTGGGGCTTATGGCTTTAGGATTGGCCTCACAATGGATTCCCTCTCCTGTCACTGTTTTGGGAGATTTTCTTGGGAGTAATGTCAGGCTGCATACATTTATTATCAAGCTGAAATCTTTGGGGGTTTGTGTTTATAAAACACAAGTAATAATCAATCATATATTGCTTACAAATGTCTTTAAAATTATGTTTTGGTTCAAATGTATTTACAGTTTTAACCCTATTCCAGTAATCTAATGGACAAAAAGTATTGCCACTGAGAGCTTGATAGCATGCTAGCGTTAGCATTTAGCTCAAAGCTGTGCTTCTTCGTACAGCACCGAGCTGCTAGCATGGTTGTAGACTCTTAGTGTTGACTTGTTTAAATATTTAACTTAGTCGTGCTTGTTTTGCTTCAAGACTAAGCCAACAGCCCCTGTTCACACATGGTTTAACTTAACTCACGTTACTGCAGTGATGTAGAAACATACGTGCTTCAAGTCCTCATGACATCACTGTTGGGTGTAGTTACAGGCACAACAAAGCACCAATCAGCACAGTTTCAAGGTGGACACCCAAGATTAGTGTCACCAGTTTAGTATCTGACCAAATGTCTCCCCTTCCGCTCCTGACCAATGACTTTGAGTAATGACCAGAAACATTTTTGCAGAACATTATGATGTCACAGTGAAGCTGACCTTTGACCCTTTTGAATATAAAATGTCATCACTTCACCCTTTTATCCTGTTAGACATTTGTGTGAAATTTTGTCATAATTACATATGAATTCTTTAATTATGGCTAAAAGTGACCTTGACCTTTGACCTTCAAATTCTAGTTTATTCTTTCATTTTGTTTATTTTTAAGTCCAAGTGGATGTTCGTGCCAAATTTGAGGAAACCCCCCCGAGGCCTTTTTGAGATATTGCATTTATGAATATAAGATGGACACAAGACCAGTGATGTTGATCTTTGACCACCAATTTCTAATCAATTCATTGTTAACTCCAAGAGAATTTTTGTCTCAAATTTGAAGACATTCAAGGTGTTCTTGAGATACTGTGTTCACGGGAATGAGATGAATGCAAGGTGATAGTGATCTTGACCTTTGACCACCAAAATCTAATCAGTTGATAGTTGAGTCCTAGTGGACATTATAGCCTAATTTGAAGAAATTCCTGCAGGGCATTCTTGAGATATTGCGCTCAGGAGAATGGGACAGACAGCCAGTCGGACAGTCAGATGGACAACCTGAAAACAATGCCTGCGGACAGAGCTATTGCTGGCATAAAAAGCCCACTTGAATGGAAACACTTTCCAGTAATTCTATCACATGGTGGTACACTGCACTTTATGTTGTCATGTGTCATGTCAGGTAATCGCATGTCCTGTCTTCAAAGCCTGTAGCCTGCTCGATAATTAGTCATCTAGCTGATGGCTTTTGATTTGATTTAAATTCAGTATAACTGAGCAGAAATTACATGCTGTCCTTTATTCCTGGAGGCTGGGCTAACTTTGTTGAACTGTACGTCTCCAACAGATGATTCTGTCATCTGCTCCTGAGCTACTGCTCACATGTTTCCTTGGCAGTAGTGACTGATTGGTGGTTTAGATATCAGGCTGTGGGAGGAAGAGGTTTAGAGGGAATTTCCTTATATCCTTGGATGTGGGCTGACCTCTGCACAGCAGTAGCAGCAGTGGTCCTCTTGGATAACGTGGATAGTCCAAAAAATGAAGAAAACATTAAGCAGCACGTTTTTAAAGCAAGATTTACACCTGCTATGTGTATCTCGAATCAGTCTCTTCTGGTACGCCTCAAAGTTTTTACAATCAGGGCATGATTGGCCAAAGTGACCCTGAGGTAAAAATGCGCCACAGACTCCTATTGACTCTGCTCACATGTCACCCGTCCCCCAGATTACATTTGGCACCTTCATTTTATATTGTCCAAGTTTCCTGTGTAATCGTTAGTTTGTGATTTATTTAGGAATAGACACCACATAAGCTTAATATAAACTGAAATAATCAAGATATTAATACTGGATTTGGACACAGGGCTTCAAGACAGGGTGTCAAGACAGGATGTCATGGTTTGGTAATAACGCAGAAACTATGTTGACGCCCTTCTCCTTTCAGTTTAAGCAGTTGCCTAGACCCACACACAGGTGTTTCCACTAAAAGACTGTGTGGGTGTGTCAAAGCTGTTCTGGATTGACATCTCCTTCATACATACAGTACAGGCCAAAAGTTTGGACACACCTTCTCATTCAATGCGTTTTCTTTATTTTCATGACTATTTACATTGTAGATTCTCACTGAAGGCATCAAAACTATGAATAAACACATGTGGAGTTATGTACTTAACAAAAAAAGGTGAAATAACTGAAAACATGTTTTATATTCTAGTTTCTTCAAAATAGCCACCCTTTGCTCTGATTACTGCTTTGCACACTCTTGGCATTCTCTCCATGAGCTTCAAGAGGTAGTCACCTGAAATGGTTTTCCACTTCACAGGTGTGCCTTATCAGGGTTAATTAGTGGAATTTCTTGCTTTATCAATGGGGTTGGGACCATCAGTTGTGTTGTGCAGAAGTCAGGTTAATACACAGCCGACAGCCCTATTGGACAACTGTTAAAATTCATATTATGGCAAGAACCAATCAGCTAACTAAAGAAAAACGAGTGGCCATCATTACTTTAAGAAATGAAGGTCAGTCAGTCCGGAAAATTGCTAAAACTTTAAATGTGTCCCCAAGTGGAGTCGCAAAAACCATCAAGCGCTACAACGAAACTGGCACACATGAGGACTGACCCAGGAAAGGAAGACCAAGAGTCACCTCTGCTTCTGAGGATAAGTTCATCCGAGTCACCAGCCTCAGAAATCGCAAGTTAACAGCAGCTCAGATCAGAGACCAGATGAATGCCACACAGAGTTCTAGCAGCAGACCCATCTCTAGAACAACTGTTAAGAGGAGACTGCGCGAATCAGGCCTTCATGGTCAAATAGCTGCTAGGAAACAACTGCTAAGGAGAGGCAACAAGCAGAAGAGATTTGTTTGGGCCAAGAAACACAAGGACATTAGACCAGTGGAAATCTGTGCTTTGGTCTGATGAGTCCAAATTTGAGATCTTTGGTTCCAACTGCCGTGTCTTTGTGAGACGCAGAAAAGGTGAACGGATGGATTCCACATGCCTGGTTCCCACTGTGAAGCATGGAGGAGGAGGTGTGATGGTGTGGGGGTGTTTTGCTGGTGACACTGTTGGGGATTTATTCAAAATTGAAGGCACACTGAACCAGCATGGCTACCACAGCATCCTGCAGCGACATGCCATCCCATCCGGTTTGCGTTTAGTTGGACGATCATTTATTTTTCAACAGGACAATGACCCCAAACACACCTCCAGGCTGTGTAAGGGCTATTTGACCAAGAAGGAGAGTGATGGAGTGCTGCGGCAGATGACCTGGCCTCCACAGTCACCGGACCTGAACCCAATCGAGATAGTTTGGGGTGAGCTGGACCGCAGAGTGAAGGCAAAGGGGCCAACAAGTGCTAAACACCTCTGGGAACTCCTTCAAGACTGTTGGAAAACCATTTCAGGTGACTACCTCTTGAAGCTCATGGAGAGAATGCCAAGAGTGTGCAAGGCAGTAATCAGAGCAAAGGGTGGCTATTTTGAAGAAACTAGAATATAAAACATGTTTTCAGTTATTTCACCTTTTTTTGTTAAGTACATAACTCCACATGTGTTCATTCATAGTTTTGATGCCTTCAGTGAGAATCTACAATGTAAATAGTCATGAAAATAAAGAAAACGCATTGAATGAGAAGGTGTGTCCAAACTTTTGGCCTGTACTGTAGTTTGGAGACATCACACTATTTTTAAATAGCTCTATCCAATTTTCACCAGATTGGAAGTCTTATCTGTCGGAGTCATTGAAAACACCTGTGTGGGTGTGCAGGACCTCCAATAAAGCAAACTTCTTTACTAAGGTCTACCTTGATCTAACAAATCTTTTCTTGTGGGCTCAAACATGAATAATTTGTATTACTCTGAAGACCATTTTTCCAAGGTGGCTTTCTAAGACAAATTGATTTCTTGCTTATTTATACAGTATTATGATCTCCAAGAATAAAATGCTTGAAGTTATACTTCTCAGTGTTTTTGGGCCACATATCTCATCTGAGCTGCATTAAAATGGTCCAGACTTTGAGCCACTTTTTGAAGTCATTCAGAAAATTTCCCATATTTCCATATTTTCCATTCTCTGTTAAACACAGTGCCTTTGTGTGTCTGCGTGTGCATGATAAAACGACCCTTCCAAGAACATTTTCCCCCAGCCTGCATATGCCAAGGAGGAAATGGACAGACAGAGTCAGACTTTGGTTGTAAAGACCAAGTTATTTTTGTCATTGTGCATTTTCATGCTCTTTATTTTTGAAGATTTACCAATCAAGAGGCTGGCATGTGTTTTCATTATTAGTGCCATGCAGGTTTGTTTGTGTTTGTGACCTTCCTGACAAATACTGGACAACAGTTTCCTTCCATTTCAACCACTTACGTTGCAGTCCCTGCCAAGGTTCGTCTCTAGCTATTTGTTTTCCGTTCCAATGAGCCATTGTTTGCTGCTGAGGCAACTGCTGTTTTCATCCATGGCCTCTGCAATCTATAAATAGGCACAGATCTTCATGTGGTTTACATATAAAACTGCCACGCCTAAATCTTGTGAAACCACATATGTTGGATTATAAAATGAAAAAGCTTATTTTGGCAATGATTTAGACTTTGTTTTGCTTTACACTGCATGACAGAAGTGTTATATTTTTTCTGTGAAGTGTGTTTTCAAAATCTTCTTCCTGTACTTATAGGTTTGATTTATATTAAAATTCTCTCAACAAATATTTTCCTTTTTGCTGCAAGGTTTTACAAATCCTAACATAATTCAATGTGAAGC